CGTCTATGGAAACACCATTTGCACAGGAAATGTCATATCCTTCGCCACTGGCGCTTTTAGAATTCTTGTGATAACAAAATCTTAAAGGAAGATGTTGAATTGATAGCCACTTGCCAATGTGTCAGGCTCGTTAAGATTACTTTACAGATCTGGCCAGGTCAATTAGTTCTAAACTAAACCAAAAAAAAAAAAACTCCACAAAATGGTAGCTCTGGTAAACGAGGGCAATACAATGTCTGATTACCAAAGAGAGAGAAAGGCCCACAGTGGAACCAGGGTCACGTGATACACAAAACGGAAGTGAGCCAAGTGTCCATTACAGCTCGCGGCCAAACTTGAACGTCTCTGATCTCGAGAAACGTGAAGTTTTCCTCAATCAAGTCGGGGACAAATATCGATCACGTGACCAGCACTGACCAGCGATTGGGTCGTTTCGGCAGATCGATTTTCATGATAGCAAATAAACATGGTCAATATTTTAACTTCAATTTCAGGTACTTGATATTTTCTTTTCAACTACCGTGGTCAACATTGAGTGACTAGCAGCACGAATTGGCACACTGCTTTCTGGATAAGATAAAGTACTTCAAATACGCCCCCTGGTTAGTGTGGTGTGTGTGGGGGGGGGGAGAGAATGCTGAGAAAAATCTACTTCAGTCTGTGTCACTACAGCATCATGTGGCTATTTGGATTGGATGTGTGTTGCTCTTTTATGTGCATTTGATAGGGTTTGTAATAAGGAAATAGTGAAACTATGTATATCAACTGTTGCTCTCATTTACTTGATTCAGTTTAAAAGTGTTAATGACGATGCGATAACATTCGGTACATCTATCTACTAAAACACTAACTTCAGCGCGTCTTTCTGGCTTTCTTCTTCTTTCTTAATAGACTTCAAACCCTGGTCCCCAAAAAAATGGTTGTTTGCTAGAAAAACATATTTTTCAACCAAAATTGAATATTTTTATAACTCGGCGTGTCGAGTCAGTGAAGCTCATGGTTGCTACCACCGATAAGTCTCAAGTTCAAAACCTCGGCCAGATAGCTGGGGAAAACAAAATCTTCTAGGAGAGACAACTGCAAAATCAAACAACTGCTGCTTTATAGTTTGTTCTTGGTTCCACAGAGGCTATAGAAGCAAATCCAAAAAGAAAAGCAGGTTGAAATCAGAGTCAACGTCCTAAATGGCGCATAACCAGTTGACACGTAATACTTGATTGTGTTGGAGGGAATCCCTTCCAACACTGGAATTAAGAACGAAGAAGAAGAAAATAATAATTAAGAAATAAGTACAAAATGACTTCCGGTTTTACTAAGGCTAGAAATATCCAAACAAATAATTACTAGTAATATTATAGTAACTTAGCTAACACTTTTATTTTCAACTCGGATTAAAAGAGTCAGGGTGTTGTAGGGTGTTATATAATACAAAAAAAACAATCTGGGTATACCCCATTGACAGCTATTGTGTATTTTATCATGGAAAACAATTGTTGTGATTTTCATTGTTTTACTAACCTGGCCACTCCGGTTGACTTAAGGGAAGGGTTAAGAGCGGTGTTTTTAAATATTTGAATTGATAAAATAATCCTAAACTGCTTTTCAACGGCTTATAATTCAATACAAAAAATAATGTATAGGCTTTTTTATCCACAGTTACGATCTTTGCGATTTCAGCAGTAATTATTTTTAATAAAAAAAAAAAGTCTTCCAAAAATACTCCCCCATAGATACAAGATCCCAAGGCCTAGCCCCTTGACCCCGAAGTTAAAGACCACAACAAACAACAACAACAACACAACAACAACAACAGCGTAGGGATGGTGGACCCAAGCACCAAACATCAGGTTATAATCAACTTTTTAAATCAATTCCTCGAAAACTAATCCAGATCTCCGCCAACTGTATTGACCCACATCAGAAATAAACATCACCACCCCCCACCCACCAACCAATTCGCCGTCGATCTGCACCTTCGCTGCGAGGCAGATGCCCTCCATGACAACATCCTATCTCCTAAACAATGTGCATTTTTGGAAACTAATTATACACCGGGAGCCTGGCTAATTTTTGTATCAGGGGAGATCGTTCTTCCCGATAAGAAGTACTAGCCGAGGCTTAAAACTAGATAGGAAATGCAACAACAAAGTAATCCCTGATTATTTTTTTATTTTTTTTATTTTGGGGGGGGGGGGGGGGGGGGGGGGTAAAATTGTGGGGTTTTTTGCAAGCATTACACAACATGGGAACTCCCGTGTGGTGAAAATAATAACACTAAGCGCTTTTATATATATATATATATATATATATATATTATATTTATATATAATTATATATATATATATATATATATATATATATATATATATATATAACCTGTTGTTATTTTTTTATATAAAAACCTGTTATTTTTTTCGGATTGGTCCTATGTTAAAGCCCTTTATCTGTTGTCAAATATATCCAATTTAAATTCTTTTTATCCCGATTAAAATAAAAGGGAAAGTTTCCCGCTTTGTTGCCATGAAAAATAAGCACTGGCCGTTTTACCCCCTCTTCCTATATTCAAAGGTAGAACTGCTATTAAAGATATTTAGACCCGAAGTCAAACAATAAACCAAACTTGTCCGTTTTATTAGTTTACATAAGTGCAGGTACAGCTAATCCACAAAACTTAATATTAAAAAATAAATAATAAAAAATACACTCGTAAACCGCGTTTCTGAATGAAGTTCAACCCCCCCCCCCCCCCCCCCCCATACAAACAAACACTCATCTCTGTAATAAAGTGCTCATTATAATCTATCATTATTTATTCATCAAGACCAGGCGGCCTTCTCAAAGCCTCGCCCAGCCTAATGTAACTTGTCCATTTCGTCATCTTAGCTCCAATGACTCGCGTCAGATACGATACGTCATTCACCAGGGGACGTAATCCTCTCAACCTTTCCGTACTTCAGAGTTACTTGCTCTTAGAGCGGGGCTACTGTGCTCTGAATTCGACACACGCAAATCAAATACAAACGAAACAATCAAATCTTATTTTCTCATACGGGGTATTTCTTTTTCTTGAAGTTCGTCATATCGATTTGATACAATAAAATGTTTTTTTTTTCGCCCGCGGAGCACTACCTAGCCTGGCTAATGCTTGCATATCTGTAAACACATCTAGAATGTGAAAATCTTACAGATACACACACACAGATACGGAGAGACCAGACTTACCATTGATTGCCAACTTGCCTCGCTGTCTGTTGTCCAACTTCTTTGTCTCATGCCGTCCTTGATCTCCTCTTTCTTTTTGCCCTGCAGAAAAAACAAACAAAACACCATGAATATTGGATACACCTATACAAGAGGTCTTTTTTTTCAAACAAACTATGATGAATATTTTATACACCTATACATGGGGTCCTTTCTTTATACAGATTAGATTGGGAAGGGGGGGTGCTTAACACAGATCTACCGTGACATATCTAGCATCAATGAGAAACTCTGCTGTATTTACACTAGACGACATTATGGAAGTAATACAAAGATTAGCGGAGTGTTATAGTGAAGTTATACAAAGATTAGTGGGGTGTTATAGTGAAGTTATACAAAGATTAGTGGGGTGTTATAGTGAAGTCATACAAAGATTAGTAGAGTGTTATAGTGGGGGGGGGGGGCAATCAGACTTGTGTAGTGTTACAGTGGGGAGAGGCTATACACATATTATTGATGTGTTTAGTAAGCCAATATAGAAATTGAGAGTTTTAACATTTAACTTCAACACTCCGAGACCCAGGCTTACAGATCGCACTGAACCCACTATAACCCACTATAACCCAATCTAACCCACTATGGCCCAATACAACCCAATATCCAATGGCCCTCCCACTTGCCGCCCCACTCCCACAGGCAGGCTACCCCTAGCGCCTTTAATATCTCACTAAATCTAGCGTGTAGAGCCTACCCCCACCCCCTCCCCCAGTGATTTCCTATGTGCGGTTATGTGATGAACATACGGCATCAAACCTACACATACGGCCATATGAGGCTCACCACACGACATTGAAACAACGTGTGTAAGGTGACCCACACGGCATTAAAACCACGTATACGTTCATGTAAGGGTCACCACACGGCATTGAAACAACGTGTGTAAGGTGACCCACACGGCACGCATACGTTCATGTAAGGGTCACCACACGGCATTAAAACAACGTGTGTAAGGTGACCCACACGGCATTAAAACCACGTATACATTCATGTAAGGGTCACCACACGGCATTGAAACAACGTGTGTAAGTTGACCCACACGGCACGCATACGTTCATGTAAGGGTCACCACACGGCATGGAAACAACGTGTGTAAGGTGACCCACACGGCACGCATACGTTCATGTAAGGGTCACCACACGGCATGGAAACAACGTGTGTAAGTTGACCCACACGGCACGCATACGTTCATGTAAGGGTCACCACACGGCACTAAAACCACGCATACGTTCATGTAAGGGTCACCACACGGCACTAAAACCACGCATACGTTAATGTAAGGGTCACCACAAGGCACTAAAACCACGCATACGTTCATGTAAGGGTCACCACACGGCACTAAAACCACGCATACGTTCATGTAAGGGTCACCACGCGGCATTAAAACCAAGCATACGTTCATGTAAGGGTCACCACACGGCACTAAAACCACGCATACGTTCATGTAAGGGTCACCACACGGCACTAAAACCACGCATACGTTCATGTAAGGGTCACCACACGGCACTAAAACCACGCATACGTTCATGTAAGGGTCACCACACGGCACTAAAACCACGCATACGTTCATGTAAGGGTCACCACACGGCACTAAAACCACGCATACGTTCATGTAAGGGTCACCACACGGCACTAAAACCACGCATACGTTCATGTAAGGGTCACCACACGGCACTAAAACCACGCATACGTTCATGTAAGGGTCACCACAAGGCACTAAAACCACGCATACGTTCCTGTAAGGGTCACCACACGGCACTAAAACCACGCATACGTTCATGTAAGGGTCACCACACGGCACTAAAATCACGCATGCGTTCATGTAAGGGTCACCACACGGCACTAAAACCACGCATACGTTCATGTAAGGGTCACCACAAGGCACTAAAACCACGCATACGTTAATGTAAGGGTCACCACACGGCACTAAAACCACGCATACGTTCATGTAAGGGTCACCACACGGCACTAAAACCACGCATACGTTAATGTAAGGGTCACCACACGGCACTAAAACCACGCATACGTTCCTGTAAGGGTCACCACATGGCACTAAAACCACGCATACGTTCATGTAAGGGTCACCACACGGCACTAAAACCACGCATACGTTCATGTAAGGGTCACCACACGGCACTAAAACCAAGCATACGTTCATGTAAGGGTCACCACACGGCACTAAAACCACGCATACGTTCATGTAAGGGTCACCACACGGCACTAAAACCACGCATACGTTCATGTAAGGGTCACCACAAGGCACTAAAACCACGCATACGTTCATGTAAGGGTCACCACACGGCACTAAAACTACGCATACGTTCATGTAAGGGTCACCACACGGCACTAAAACCACGCATACGTTAATGTAAGGGTCACCACACGGCACTAAAACCACGCATACGTTAATGTAAGGGTCACCACACGGCACTAAAACCACGCATACGTTCCTGTAAGGGTCACCACATGGCACTAAAACCACGCATACGTTCATGTAAGGGTCACCACACGGCACTAAAACCACGCATACGTTCATGTAAGGGTCACCACAAGGCACTAAAACCACGCATACGTTAATGTAAGGGTCACCACACGGCACTAAAACCAAGCTACAGTTTCAGATACAGGACAGTCAAGTACTGTAAAAAATCGAAGACACGCCCACAAGTCCTGAATGACACACGGCTAAAAAAAATGTCCCAAGACTCTAGAGAGCTATAAAAAAAATATCACCAAATAAAAAAAAAACTACAGTTCGATACAACTTTAGACGAGTTTTTTTTTTTTTTTTTTTTTTTTTTTTTTTTTTTTTGCTTGTGTTTTCTGCGTACAATAATTCTCAGACAATTTTTTTCTTTGAACTCTATGCCTCTTTCGTTAATGTTTACAGCAGTTCAATCTATTATTACCAAAGCCTTTGGTGAGAAATATCAACATTATCCGTATTGGGTTCTCAAGCTACTTTACAATAGGGATTTCAATACAGCTATTGATGATTATAAATTGTCCAAGGGTACCAATGCTACATAATAAAAAAATTCTTTATTTGTAATAATATTACCAATTATTCTTTCTTCGTTCTAATTTGCAATATTGGAGAGACTGCCTCAAGAAAAAAATAAGTATTACATATCGTCATGTTTTAAGCCTAACGCTCCGTTGACTTAAGCCTGCTTTTCTTTCTGGATTTGCTTCTTCAGATTGTATCCATACAATATCAAATTGATAATGTTAAAACAAACTTTCTGCATATTAAACATTGAAATTTACATCTTTCAAAAAACATTTTTTTAAAAATGTTTGACTCTGATCTTAAATAATATTTCTTCAACAGATAGCGCTGAACGCTAAAAAGTGACGATAGTTAGGCTATAAACGCTATCAACAACACGCAAACAACTCAGGCGGTCTAAAATAGGAGCATCGAAAAACGTCAACTAAAGCCCAATTACAAGTATATTGATTTTCTTTTAGTCGTGAGTTCATGTTGGAAATAGAAGTTTGAAGATGAAAACTGTAATTAGGGTAGGTGGGCGGTATGGATCGGTTGCCAGAACAGATTCTTGTTTACACAGAGGGAACCTGGAGGGCCAATTTAACAGTGACCACTGCACTCAGGACAACGACGAGTGTCCACTGGTACTGTGATTTGTACACTAACTGACCAGTACATTGACAACTCTTTACACACACTGACCACTGCACTCAGTGAGTGTCCACTGGTACTGTAATTTGTACTCACTGACTAGTACATTGACAACTCTTTACATACACTGACCACTGCACTCATTGAGTGTCCACTGGTACTGTAATTTGTACACTCACTGACCAGTACATTGACAACGCTTTACATACACTGACCACTACACTCAGTGAGTGTCCACTGGTACTGTAATTTGTACACTCACTGACCAGTACATTGACAACTCTTACATACACTGACCACTACACCCAGGACGATGGCGAGTGTCCACTGGTACTGTAAGGTGTACACTCACTGACCAGTACATTGACAACTCTTTACATACACTGACCACTACACTCAGTGAGTGTCCACTGGTACTGTAATTTGTACACTCACTGACCAGTACATTGACAACAGTACATAATACATCTTTAACCTGATCAAAGAAAAGTCTTTACTTTTGTACTTTAGCCTGACTAAATAAACTTAACGCCCCCTTGAGTATCTTTAGCCAATCAAAAGAAAAACATGTCTTTTAGCCAGACCATGAAAAATTAACCTGAAGTATTGATCAACAAAAGTCAAAGCTCGTTATCACAGCATGCTTTTAACTAACAGATGACTGATTGTAGAATCATCAGGGAAATGGCACACACGAGTCGTGGTTGTAGAGAGCCAATATAGATAAGGGAAGACAAGAACAAGTTAGGGTCGAGATGGAAGAAAAAAACCTTTAGCATAAAATTAGGATGTTAGCCTAGCTGACCTCAACCCCACCTCCAAGCCCGCCCCCCACCCCTCAGCACACAGCGGCCAGTGGCACCAACTCTTTTATGTGAGAATAAGCAGCAGGCCAACCATCAAGTACAAATCTATCGCTAATAGCTTCCCCCCCCCCCCATTCTTCCACTCAAAATAACACACCCCTCTGGGGTCTGATGACAACCCACCATTACCCTCAGCTCAAGAACGCCCCCCTCTCTCCCCCTCCCCCCTCTAACAGTACCCCCTGTCTGAGGCTGCGCATATATCTAGCACCGATGCACATTTGACGTGCTTGTACAACCTCTTGGGCCATCGATCTAACACCAGCTATTTTTTTTTTTTGGGCCGCCGAATTCTGGAGCGTCAAGAAATAGCAGCCAGACAAGGTTCCATAAAGATATATCACGTGTTGTGGGGGGGGGGGGGGGGGAGGGAAGGCATATCACGTGGTTATTTGTGTAGCATTGCAAAAAATGATATCATAAACGCGAGGTAGGCCACATTCACATTTCGGCCTGCTACAAAGCCAACAAAAACAAGTCAACATGCATATCATCATTATAATTATTATGTTTATAGAAAAACGACAATTCTC